TTCAGAAAAGAGTGCCCTCAATCTGGCAGCATTGGTGGGAAGAAGCGACGTAGGACAGGTGCAAAGCACTTTGGTCGCAAAGGACAGTGCAAGAATGTGGTTGCATTTGACGCCGAGAGTGCACGGACTTACCTCGACGTCATAATCAAAGGATCTTCTCTCAAGCTCCAGTTGGACACGGGTGCGGATATAACGCTGATATCTCGTAAAGCTTGGAAGAGGATGGGATCTCCGGCTTTAGAACCCTGAGTGATGCCTGTTAAAACTGCAGATGGGACGCCGATGCAGATCGAAGGTAAATTTTCAACTGATTTCAAGGTCAAAGATCGAGTTACAGGACGGATGGTCCATGGAAAAGGAACATGCTATGTCACCGAAGGCTCGAATCTCCTGGGATTGGAGTGGTGCATCCAGTTGCCAGCCTACAAGAAGTTGAAGACCAAGTACAACTGCAGGAAGGTGACTAGCGAAGAAGAAATTCGAGCCGAAGTTGTCACTGATTTGAAGAACAAGTATCCGGATGTCTTCAAGAGCGAACTAGGAAAATGTAAGAAGAGCAAGGCCAGGTTAGTCTTGAAGAAGGATGCTGTCCCAGTCTTCAAAAAGAAGAGACCAGTTCCATACGCCACAGCACCGGAACTGGAGGCAGAAATTGATCGGCTGGTAGCCGAAGGAGTTATTTCTGCCGTGGAACACTCAGAGTGGGCCGCTCCAATAGTCGCCGTCAAGAAGAAGAATGGCAGGATCCGTCTATGCGTCGACTTCTCGACGGGACTCAACGATTCATTGCAGAACGGAACTACGGACAAATTGAGAAAGAAGGACTAGCATTGGTGTTTGCAGTTCGTAAGTTCCATCGGTATATATACGGACGACGGTTCAGATTGCTTACCGATCACAAGCCGCTGCTACACATTTTTGGACCCAAGAAGATGTTACCTGTGTACACAGCGAACAGGTTACAACGATGGAAGCTCATTTTACTCGCATACGACTTCGACCTGGAGTACCGCAAGACGACCGAATTCGGACAAGCCGATGCGCTGTCTCGACTGATCCCTCCAAGGCCATTCCAGACCGAAGACGTCGTCATAGCGAAAATAGAAGAAGATGTGCGAGCCGTCCAAGCTGCTGCTGTACGAGCGTTACCAGTGACCCGAAGAAAGATAGAAGAAGAATCCTGCAAGGAAGAAACAATTGCGCAAGTTATACGAATGCTGCAATCGGGAGCATGGCCGTCCAAGCCTAAAGAAGAAGTCCAAAATTGGAGAGCACTGAGGGAGAATTTATCAGTGCAGAACGGATGTTTGTATTTCGCCCACAGAATAGTCATTCCAGCCTCGCTGAGACAAGCGGTCCTGAAGCAGTACATGAGGGACACCCGGGAATGACAAGGATGAAGATGCTCGCGAGAGGATTCGCATATTGGATGGGCATCAACAGAGAAATTGAAGATTCAGTGCGCCGCTGTAGGGATTGTCAGGAAGCCTCCAAAATGCCAGTGAAGACGTTGCTGCATCCATGGAAAGTGGAAGACAAACCATGGAATCGACTTCACATTGACTATGCAGGGCCGCTGAATGGCAAGATGTATCTCGTCGTAGTTGACGCTTACTCGAAATGGTCAGAAGTATTTGAGATGTCTTCATCGTCAACTACAGCTACCCTGAGAGAACTCAGATCTCTATTCGCTCGATTTGGAAATCCGCAAGTGATCGTGTCGGATAATGGGACGCAGTTCACAGCAAAGGAGTTCCTAGATTTCTGTGAAGAGCGAGGAATCAAGCATATGCGTTCACCTCCATTCCATCCACAATCAAATGGACAAGCGGAGAGGTTTGTGGATATCTTCAAAAGGACCTTCCAGAAAATTAAGGAGGGAGGAACGGCAGAGAAGCTTGCTGAGTTTCTACAGTCTTATCGACGAACGCCTTGTACAACTGCTCCAGGACAACGTTCGCCTGCCGAGCTGCTCCTGGGATAGATAAGGACACCACTGTCACTGCTGAATGAAGACTCCAAAGAAGAAGGAATGGGCGATGCAAACATGGAGAAGCAGTTTAACCGCCACCATGGAGCACGAAAGAGAGCGTACCAGCCACAAGAAGCCGTGTGGGTACGTGATTTTCGCTCCGGATGTGAAAAATGGATTCCAGCTAGAGTGAAGAAACGCTACGGAGAAGCACTATATGGCGTGCTTACTGAAAAAGGCCAGTTATGGAGACGACATGCGAACCAGATGCGCCGCGCAGCAAGTATGGATCGCCATCATGACTCGACACAGTCCACTTCCGACGAAGACCGACTTAACAGTGGTTTCGATGCTGCTGAACACCAAGCCACCTCGTCTCCTTCACCGACATCAACCAGACCAACTCGCCATCTTCGCCCACCAGAACGTCTGCAAGTAGATCCTTATTATAAGATGTACCGTTGTTCATCTTAGGAGGGAGGTGTTGTAGAGCCGTCCCTTATATTGGAACTTGCTCACTCACTATAGGCTAGGTCGATATGGTCTCTGTGGTTGCGGCGTACCCGCCGCACCTTGATATATTTGTGTGTGTTGTTCTCTAGTTATTCCTAGTGAACCCTCGGCATGTACGCCGATAGGCAGAGGGGGAACTCTTGTGTTTTTCTGATAAATCGTCAACGGCTCAACGCGTTCTACATCACTAACGGCTGAGAGTACCCTCTTTTCGCCGTTCGCGATTTGTCCGAAACATGTTGAAAAAACTGAAGTACTACAAAGATACCTCTATGGCTTCGAAGAACTCGAAGTCAAGAGTATATCAATTGGATAAGGAGCAATTTACGCAACGGCTGTAGATTTTGCATTCGGTACCGTCACTACTGCTGAGGCGCATCTTTGCAGCGCGAAAACTCATTTTGTTCTAATTTTCTTCAATGTTCCTTACTGCTTTCAAAACTCATTTTCTGTAGATTGGTTTCAAGGTTTGATCGCTCAAAAAGTAATTGCTCCAAGACTTTACACATGACCTAGAGAATAGAGGCGGGAAGTATCACCAGGAGTATCACCTATATTTAGTTGAGGTTTTCAAAGTGGACGGTTCTTTGCAATTTTTCCGTTTTATTGCGCTCGAGATTCATCTTCTTCTGAGCGATGCGGCTTAAAAAGCTGGATGTAATATTGTACATGTGCGATCGTGAAGATGATGGTTCTAGGAGTAGGAAAAAATTGCGTTTCTCGAACAAATATAAAACTTCAGAGTGAGCAAAAGATGAAAAGGAGGGAGTAAAGACGAATACAGGAAAGTACCGCGTTTACGCACAGTCGAGTAGAGGAACGAACACCTAAGTTAGGCATTGCTTCCGCGGGCTGCTGGTCCTTTTGTCCTAATGTTGTGCATCGTGTGGACCAGCAGTCCGCGGAGCCGGTGCCTAACTGAGGTGTCCACTCCGTTCAATTATCATATTTACTAGCTAGTTTTCTCGGTCTCGATGGAGTCACGGCGTCAGCTGATCCGGCACGGCACCCCCTCCCCCCGTCTCGTCTCCCATCTAGCTATTATACTGCGCTGCAAGGGGTTCCTGTAATAAAGTGATTCACCCGCTTTAGGCCCCGGTCAGACTTCACGCGATTTGATCGTCGCGACTGAATCGCGACGAGACAACTGATACGAGTTCATTGCATGCCGGCCAGCTTGCATTTCGGTTGTGGTACTTTTCCAGCCCGAAATTTTTGAATGTGAAATGAAAATGAATGGAGATCTTGGCGATTAGATCGCGACGATTAAGTCGCGTGAAGTCTGTCCGGGGCCTTAGGCTCGTCTCAAATCACTATCAAGGTTCGACTAAATATTAGGTTGGCTAAAGAATAAGTTCGTTTTGGCATGTAAATTTTCATGGAAATTTTTCTTGTTGTTTTCTATCCATGATCTATTGTGGAAAAGTAGATCAACCCTTTCTTTATCACATGTCAAATATTCAGGATATTCTATTATCAGAAAAGACAGTTATGTCTCAACATGGCTAAATTTCCAAAAGCTGAATTTTTTGACTTTCTGTGCATCGTTTTTATGCTGTAATGGATGTAAAAAACAGTAAATTGGTATCTAGATAAAGAGAGGTTTTTTTACTTAGTAGGTAACAATAAAAATTTTGGTCTGCCATTTTGAAAATCTTTTGTCAAAAAACCAAATTTCCTGATATTTGCGCACTGTGAGAAGAAATGTGGTTTTTCACTTCTTTCCGGCTTTTTTTCCTTGGAAAAAAATTCTTCTTAAACAGAATTCGTAATCCAATTCCTAATGAAGTGCTCTTTCCAGAGGTACCAAACACTGGATAAAAATTTGTCTGCAGCATTTGTAAGGGCCGCAAAAGCGACCGAACTTATTTATTAGCCAATCTAAAAGTATCACGGTAAATGCAACTGTCACTTTTCTTGCTGCTACCACTATTACTGCTATCGCTATTGTGACCAATGGCACCGGAGTTTACTGTAACTTTTTACCCTGCAATGTTCCGCTTCAAATGAATGCCTGTAGCTTTATTCTTTCGTTCTGACTATGTCTGTTCATATGTTGAAACTACTGGTAATTCATACAAAGTAAACACCGCTTAAAAGAGAAGAGCGACGGCAGTGAAGAGCAGAAACACTGGTAACAGCGATTATAGCGGTTTGACTACTAATGATAAAGCAGTGGTTAAGTGCATCGTAGCCTGACATTCACTATGAATATTCGGCACAGTATGTTCTTTTCGGAAGGCAGCGAAAAAATCTTGTAAAATCGTCCATCGTTTTAACCCGTTTCTTGTTTGTTGTATGTAAGCGTAAATTTCTGCGAATTGAAACTGATGCATCAGAAAACTGATGAAAATCATTAAAAAGTTTTGATCGTTCAAATTGTACATATTCGCTTTTGACTGTTACACATTGTTTCATTAGTTCATTTGATGACAAGAAAAGAATTATCAGAACTCTTGTACATTTTGCAGCGCACATGTTTTTTTTAAGAATAGTCTCAGTCATGTCGTGCTATCCTGCGAATTCCACTTGTGTCGTTTTCCCTTGAGATAATTCTGTTAGAATTCAGTGGCAAGTTCATTGCCATAATTGCCGTAATCCGGTAAAATAGTTTTCACCAGTTGGTTTTTCGTTTATCTTCATACCGAGCACGTTTCTGATGATGAGCCTGAACACGTTTGCAAGTTTGTTTCGGAAAAGTTTTTGTTAAAATAAATAGCAACATTAACAGCGAAAAGTTTCCTTACCCTTTTCGTTCCCCCGTACAAAAAGTTTGACACAACAAATCATGTAAAATATCCCTCGCCTTTTTGAAAGAGGGATGATAAAGCATTACAGCGAATGTGATCATAATTTGGAACAAGAAACTGATCTAAAATTCAAAGCGTTTATAAATTTAAGAATAATGCTGGAGCTTACCGATTTGAAGATTATGAAGAAAATAACAGCATATCTATTGGAACATCCCATTATATCATTTTTTGTCGTTGATTCGAACAGAATTTCACTGGCAATATCCGCAAAATTTACGCACAAATCGCAAATTACTACCTGAAAAACATTACCGTATTGACGTAGTTCAAAAGATAAAAAGCACTTACAGGCAACAATACTCTCAAGGCTCGGATGTTCTCTGAGAGTTGATACCTTGTGCCCAAATTGGTGCCCATTCCAACTGAATGCTTAGTACGCTGCTTGTTATACGTCAGCAATGATAATAGCAACTGAAAAAATACAGCTACCATTGGCAGTCATTACTGATATTTTTTTGACCTACTATGATGATAACCACTTGTATAATGAAAAGCATAGCTTTTTGCACGTCATCTGTCATCGACACAGTCCACCTTGCGGCGTATAGGATAGCACCAGCGATGATTAGCTGAAAGCCATCTACTGCGAAATGCTTAGGTAATTCGAATGTACAAATATGAATGATTAAGCAAACTCTCATCTTCACGCGGCGATTCGAGTCGCAGAGACAGTTTTTTGATGAGATCAAAGCAAAAATCAATAAAATCAATGTCGATCGATAACGGATGCCATATGTGAAGTCACCACCCTGCTCGACTTGCTGATTTAACACGGGGGAGTATGTGGGCATGCTGATTACGAAAACATAGTAAAGGCAGGATACTGGGGCATATAGAGGTGAGATCGGGACACGAAAAGGAAATAAGGCATGGTGATTTTTCTCATAGTGTATTGACAGAGCCTGGCGGAGTCGGGTATGCCAGCAACACATAGAAGGCATGTCTTTCGGACAGTATAGTAAGCAAAAACTTTTAAAAACTAGCACCGACAAAGTGAGGAGCAGTTCCCAGTGATGATGCCCAAAATCATGCTTAAACGACATTCAATCTATATAAAGCTGAGTGTCTGTCTGTATCCGTGTCTGTAAATGTTCTGAACAGAAATTTTATTTCTAAGCCGATCCATAGCAGACTTTGCACATATACTTCGGGGCGGGGAGGTATCGCAGCCATTTTTCGTTTTCGATTATCGATTTATCGATTTTATCAAATTTTGCAAATTTTGAGCAGAAAGGGAGCTGGTTCAAAATTAGTGAGCATGCTGATTAGGAAAACTGCATTAACTTTACAGATTGTCAGTTACCTTCATCAACTCCGGTTTTTGCAAGTTTTGGATTGAAAAGCTGGGAGCTGGCACAGAGGGGTTAATGCGCATGCTGATTGAGAAAACAGCAGGGAACTGGCATATAGAAGTGGGATAGAGATAGGGTAACATTGTAACGGAGAAAGTGACCTTCATCATAAGTATCAACAATGCCCTACAAACTCCGATATGCCAGCTAATCTATACATATACAAATCTGAGTGTTGGTAAATTATTGGTTAGTTTGTACGCTATAGAAATTTTGTGTGTGGATCAAACAGCGCTACCAAACTGCAAACACATGTTTTCGACACCAGTCCACTCAACAGACTAATTTTCGCAACGAATTTTTCACTAATTCTATCCATTTATCGATTTTGAAGAATGAGCCTTTGTCCATTGATGGAAACCGCTTCCTACTTTTCTGTAATGAGTAGCGGTAGAATTCATTTTCATTTCACGGTCGTAATTCAAAGCGATGTGTTCCAGGGGGAATATGCCCTATGTCAAAGGAGAAAGAGAACAAAGCCGAAACGCAGATGAGTTGAGCCGGTTGACACGGTGCGAGCGAAGTCTTGCATGTCAGCTAGTATTTCATAAGACTGTTTGTCAGTATTTCTTCATGGACGGTTCAAGGCTTTGATTGAAGGCAGTAGCGCTGAATTGAGGGACCCGAAAGGTGATATTGTGGGTTCATTAGGCCATGAATCCATCCCAGCTGATAAATGTTGTTTACGTCGTCAAGTTGCAATACTCCCTCGTCTCTCGAGTCGTTGCGAAAAATCTTACAGGGAATGGTAAATCGAAGTGGACAATCTAAGCACGCTGCATACTATTAGATGCACCATAAGACGCTGACTTTGAATCTGTATTCCATATTTGCTTGGGCGAAGTTATGAGCCGTCGAAGGCCGTTATTCCGTCGAAAAATCGTGTAAGCAAATAGCAAATTTAGCATTACAGACCATGTTCGGCTTAATGCTGGGCCAAAACATGCAGCTAGGCTATTTCAAAGCCTTAAAACTCAAAAGCAAGCTGAAAGTGCACCACTGTGCTTAATTTCGCATTTTTTCGTACAATTTGCAATAAAACTGCTCATAACTTCGTTCACAAAGGAGCTAAGCAGATATGGTGTACAGATTCGAAATCAGCGTTCAATGCTGTATCAAATGATAGCTTGCTTGAATGGCCACTACTTCTAACCATTCCCTTGCTAGCTTACTACCAGACTAAAGAGTCTGTAATTATGCTTGAATATTATTCCCTCAATCCTTAGAAAACTTTGAAGCTTCTTTAGTTCAATGCAAAGAATTTATCTCCAGTGTCATTTAACTGATGCAGAAATATTCAGCAGGGAGCGAGGGGAAGGGTTAGCTCAATTTTGAAAATTTCAAGGCTCCTGTTCGCTGAAGAAGTTGCGTTACCCTCAAGACACGATTATTAAATCTTCTTTTACTATGAGTATTCACGTGCATATGTTATCCTCTTAGGAGGAAATGCGACTTATTGCCACCAAATATCTACATGGGGTCTGAGACAGAAAAATAGAAAGTAAGTCAAAAGTAAGCCGTTGGAAGGAGCAACTCACGCAAAAGGGCTGAGTATACCAGAACATCTTCCAAGGACGAGCTTTTTCGTACTCTCTCGGTCGCGTTGACGCAATACCGCGTTCCAAAAGAAGGCAAACGACACATGGTGATGCATAGAAGTACACAAATTCTAAAAAAATCTGTAGTTTTGTAGTTTTTTTTAAGGCAAAGACTTATTTACCACAAATTTCATAAAGAGTATCGTGCAGTTCTGCAAATTGCGGCCATACGATGGAGGTTATGCAGCATGCAAGTTCAAACACATCACTTACGGCGTAGCTAAGGATCAGTAGAGAGAGTAGTATACTGAAAAAATTTCTTGTGTAAGTATATTTAGCCTTTCCTGATTCCTCCTATAATGATTTGAAAAACATGACATTATCATCAGAAGTTTATATTTCCCGATAATGTTATAAAACGTATAAGCTCTTCTTTATCTTTATCTCATACACGAAAACGTGTGCCAAAATCGGTGTGATAACAAAAACATTGCTAGGGTAAAAGAAGATTAGCCTGTCACCTTCAACCGAGGCAAACGAACAGTAAATAAAGGCTAATTCAGGTGTTGAGGAAGAGAAAATTTATTTGGTTGAAGGGGTACTGGTGATTGGTATTGGTGAATGCCACCGCCTTTTCTGGGCTGTCCAAAATGTGTGCAACTGGTTCGCCAAGTATCCTTCTCTTCGTAAATGTGAAATACATGAGTTAAATGCATCTTTGAAAAAGATATTTGGGACACTCTTCTCGTTTTGTTAGAATTATATAAAAATCCCAACCTCTTTCGCTAATTTTTGGTAATTTTTTTTCAAAAATAAAATTCTGCCACAATTAGCGTTACTACTAACCAAAGCTATGTGCTGAGTGATGAGCGGGATGATTATGCTGGCAGTTCATGTAATCGATTTAAAGATGTCAAGCAAAACTCAACTTTACTCTAATAGTTGAAGGAAAGATGCTGTTTTACAATTTCCTCACGTGCACAAGCCGTACCCAATTTGTTCTGAACGAGAGCAGACCTTGGAGCACCGCTGCGCATGTGCCCGGCAAAGCGATCGCTCTTTCCTACTATGTCCGCAGTAAAAGGCACAGTCCATCCAGATTCTCGACTTCTTTCGTTCCGGGGCTTTCTTGATTCCGAATATGAAATCGAGAATCCGCGAAAATCCCAACACTCCCAATTCCGAAAACGCGGCGCGGGTTTTTTGAACGGCGCTTGGATGAGCGAGCGCGAATGGGCGGGCATTACTTGGGGGGGGGGGGGAGGATGCCGGCCATGGTCCTCGTGCCTCTTCGTTATTTTGAAGCGATTTTTTCGTTTTTGAAACGTCATTTTGCGCCGCGAATAAACATTGGCCTGATAGGGGCCCTATTATGGTATGCTGCCAGAATAAGACATCTAACTTAGGTAAAAGGTGACTTAGAAATTTTCTGCAGTGTCTCTCCGCAAATTAACGAAATCAAATGAAAAATTTAGCAAGTGTAGCAATCTTGTATTCAATTTCTTTATCCATCTTATCGCAAAACTTCTAACTATCATAGAAACATAATTGCATGCTCAAGGATGACTGCTTAAGTTATTGCTGAATACTTCTACAGTAGTCATCGTAGAAGTACTTAGTAATGACTTGAGAACTTGTAATAACTTGAAAAAAAAGTAAGTTAAAGATTACCTGAAAAAAGGGTGAAAGATGTCACGGTTTGCGAAGGCGACATAGGCAACGTAGGTGTACGAAATAACGAGAAACCCATCTAGAGAGGCGGTGATAGCAGGCAGAAACTGTAGCACTTCAATCAAGCAAATCATAAGCTGAAAATTCTAAATTGGCTAAGTGCCTACACTGTCTTATGAAGAATGCGTATAAACAACGACTCAATGTTTCAAAAAGATGAGCACATCTAATTGTTAGATGCGCACAAATGCGATACCTGATAGACGTACAAATAATCATGATTTCTTAAGAACTGACATGCTAGCTGACATGGGGAAAGACTTATTTCAGGCATGATGATTAAGCCATATAAAGAGCGTAAATAGCGAAAGCAAAATGATGAGAAAAGAAAACCTAATTATCCTCTTCTTCGGTGCCATTCTAGGTAGTCTGTCATGGGTGGCACCGTACCACTAACTTCGCAAAGTTAACCTCATTTATTTGGTTGTCTGCGCCCTGGTGTTTGATGTCGCGTCAAATTCGGTCTCATGTTATTTAGCGTTTCGCTAACAAGTTGTTTCGCTGTCTTGCTGCAGTTCCAGATTTGCTCCTTTTCGCAAATTTCTGCTGGGGCGCCAAAAGTGATACTGTTACTAGATCTGTAGGACATTGTCAAACATACAAAATCTTCCCCAAGAAGTGAGGCAGTGAAGAGCGAGAGAGATGACTGGGAGATATGTATCACATGTGTGCTCTACTTTTGGTCAAACAAACCTTCACAAAAAAAATTTTTTAAGAAGGACAGAGCATGACAATACATAGGTGAGGAAAAAAGATTTTCTAACCAGAAATTCTTAAGGCCATTTATTTGAAAATTGAAATTTCGTTTGTAACATTTTGGTAATAATCGTGTTGCCCGCTTTTGTAGACCACTAATTGCTAAGCAAATTCGCAAAAGCATGACATAGGAGTGAAGAAGCAAAGAAATTACGGCAATTGTGGTTCCCTAGGGAGATTCACGGGTTTCAAAGCATTTGAATTAAATAATCAGCAAGATAATAGAACATCTCGTCTGCCTTGAAATGATTACCGAGAGGGAAAGGTATATTTGAAGCTGCTCGCCATATAAGAGGGATACATGTTGATTGGTATGAAGTGTTGATAGATTTCTCTCTTGCGAAACACCGGCGAGCGAGGGGTTGCATTGTGTAAGAGATAGAATTAACGGTGCATGAGTTAGTCAGTTTCGTACAGCTTTCATATCACTTTGTGATTTTCTGCTTTCTCCATTGCCCTGAAAAGTGTTGTAAATAACTTTATTGTGGCTACAGACACAAGACAGAACAATTTGAAACAGCCTAAAATTTGTAGACCCGTTCCAAAAAGTTGGCTTGACAAGGCCCTCTCTACGAGAGGGTCGAAAATGATTTTGATGATTAGATAATTAATTAACGACGAAAAGCAAAAAAAAACGGGAATGTAAAACCCGAAGTAAAGTGTACTTTTGAAGCCCCTCCCCATCCCAGGAATAGATCCCGGAATTTTCAAAGCTCACTTATATGAGTTATAAAAATGTGCAAGTGACTTGTTTATTCTTGCGAATAATTAAAATAATTTTTGAAATTTGTCAAAAATTCAGATGAGCCATAAGCCGCCATGCCTCTTTGATTTTAAGGGGTGGAGGACATTAGGTCGCCGATAGGCTCCACCCACACGGACAGGTAGCATGAGGCAAGAATGGTGAGAGTCTACTATTTGTTGCACATGTCCGTGCGGGACCGCCCCTTTCGGCGACCTAATGTACCCTACCCGATTTTGGGGGTTATGGGCCCGCAAAAATTTTGAGAAACACCTCAAGAAATTTTTGGGCGCGCGGCGTTAGCCATACATATACCCCCCCCCCCTTTGTTGAAGCCGGCTGACATTCGAAGAAAAATTCTTAATGGTAATTGCAATTTTTAATTTCAGAACATGCATTATTCTCTGAATAATGTCAGATCGTAGGTATCGCAGATGTTTCATCTTGATATGTAGTCGTACAAAAAAATTCTGATGCAGGATCACAGTAGCAGTGAAGGAAGCAAATGGAATTGCAATTGTGCTTAGGTTTCAGCATTTTCATTTTTCTCTGTTCAACATTAACGAATGAGGAAGGTAAGCGATAGCGCAAAATAGCAAGACTCAGATACTACTATGGCAAGAAAGCAAATGCGGTAACATTTGGGATAGATTTATAGTTGTGTCCAGCACTGTATAAGGGTGCTTGGAAATTAATGGGATACCTGAAATAAAAGCATATCTTTCAAATATAAAAGAGGACTGTTTCCTCAGTCTTGAAATACATACAACAGGGCATATCGAACTCTCTTTAACGACGTCTGATTGGCACTCGTTGTAAGTTGTAGGAGTATGGGAGCAGCAGACGTATGTAAGTCCATCAATGTATCAATGCTGTGAAGAGTGAGGGAATTCATCAAACCCACCAGAGCATAATAATATCACTTCTATTAGGATAGAAGATATGAAACCGAGCATAGGGACACCTATTCCTTTTTCGCTGAAGCCAGCAGGTGGGCTAAGCTTTACTGGTTATGATCTGGTAAACTTTACGCTCTAATTATGCGTAAGTAGCTTACCTCGAGTTTTCATTTCTGCCAATTACGGAGCAACCCATGGTTTTGTGAATGAAAGATATAATTGTCATCACAAGGGTTCCTTTGAATTTCTGAATTCTCGGCCTGATATCAATATAATATGCACTTACCTTGTATTCCATATACTCTTATTCAATTATTCCTTTTTCTTCGTGAAGAGGAAAAACAGAAAGGGAAACTTGAGTACTTTATCTGTTACACTGTACTCGAAAGCTCAGATTTCTTTCCCAAGAATTCATTTTGCAGGGTGGGGAGAAAGACATTATACTGTAGACGTAAAGATAAAAGGATAAGGATAGGCGTGTTCAATACCCTTTGGGGCATGCGCTAAACGCACACCACTTCATAGTCGAAGAGGCATTTGTACGCGAGCCTTTTACATGGCTTGCGGGGACCAGCTGATTACCAATTAGTGCTTCAATCCTTTCAGAATTACTTAGTACCAATTTATAGTTTTGGGAAGGTAGAGGGCTTAGATGGCTCAAGGGCGAGACGGAACCTGGGTCCGACTGGTCCTAGCGGCGCCTCATACCACGTCACTCGTTCCCATTTGTGTGACATTAGCTTGTTTATTTCAGCCTGCCAGATACCAGGTCACATCACCCCTTTAGCTAAGCAAATGGCGAAAGATAACTGTATTGAAACTACCTAAGGGTTCGCTTGCCTCTGTGCTAGATTGTGAGAAAACCGACCATTTCGAACCAATTCTATGAGATAATCGGTGCACAAATCCTTGTAAGCCGGCTCCCTGCTTTCACCTGTGTTTTCCTAACATGCTCACCCATATCTTAATTCTATGAGCCATTTCCCTGCTTTCACCTGTTTTCATAATCATCATGAGCTCTTGCAACTTAATGCTCTCAGCTCAAAGGCAGCGTCCCGTTTATTATGTTTACGTCTCCTTTCAACTATGGCAGATCATCAAGACCTTCGGATGATGCGACCCCTAAAGCCTCATATATGTACGGTCTTAAAAAAGCTCGCCTAACCTCTTTCTGCTCCCCTCACACCCGCATGGACGAGTTTACAGATTCTGTGGCTTTCATGTGGCACTACAAGTCATAAACCTGTTGGTGGTACATGTTTTCACGTTGCATAGCAATACATTAAAGTCAGAATATTGTCCGTGCTCATAAAATGGTAGAAAATTAAGGCCATGAAAAGGCACTGGAATGACAAAAAAATGAAAGTCGATGACCTGCTTGGACCCTGCCTTTGACTCTTTAAACTCCCTGCGTCATCAACATGCTCATTTGCTCCATGCAACAATATTTCAACACTCCCGTTAGGAATTTGCAAAAAAATTGATGGATCGAGCAAGTTTTAATAATGCAGAGATGACTATTGCCATCGTGATTAGCATTTTTACCTAACTTCCCCCCCCCCCCCATACCGTAGTCCAAGTGCATAACACGAAATATGCTGGAAAATCAATAAATATTCGGAAAAGGACGAACAGCCTGTAACACCTGCCTAAGATATTTATGCCATGTTTTGTTCGGATGGTCAATTATATGTACGCAGATACATAGCTTATGTGCATACGCATAGGCTACTGTCGGAGGCGCAAAACAAAGGGCGCGAACACGGTTTCATTAGCCGCAGAGCGCATGACGCACGAGGCGTATCACAACGGTAAAAATACGCTTGCACGGCGTTTGCACCCGCTCAATTAATACTGCTTTGCCTGGCACAATGTGGCTTTCCGAATATGCAAAAAGCGAAGTCTCCTCTAATTTTCGCAAAATTTCACGTCTTCTCTGACCCAAAATTGGAAACGTTAACTAAGAGAAACTTAGCTTGTGTTTTTTCAAACCGCAAAATCAATATCTCCTTTGCCTGTCCCAAAAACGATATCCAGCTTGCTTCTAAGCCACCTGTGCCGAGACTGTGCTTTAAGCCTTTGTTCAGCAGTAGTTTTTAGACTTCATAGGACAGTTATAGATCTGATTCATGCTCCAATATGTCTGTCGTGTATAGCGGTTTTAAAAGGTAAACATAAATAAACTAGGTCAAATACATATGGCTGAGCAAAACGAAACAGCGTGAAAATCACAACATCTTTGATATAGATCAATATAACCACTCAAAATGGAAACGAAGTTTCTAGGAGTGAAAAGATAGAAAAGTCGCCTAGTTACAACACTGTTGAGACTGCTTCAATTAGTCTCTATATAAATTCTAAAATGTTGAGTTGTTTACAACACTAAATTGCGCAGATGAAATTGTGAGTGAAGAGTTTGTCTAGCTCTTACGTCAAATCTGTCTAGTATTACAAATATTTGGGTCAAAATCAGAAAAGAAATTCAATGCACTCTCTATATCTCGTGGATATAATAATACTAAGCAATCTACAAAAAACCGCTAAGATTCAATTACATTTCTAGCAGTGTTCGTTTTGTAAATAAACCTACCTGTTAGTTGTATTTTTGACCAAACACTTGAGGCTTTAGACGGGACTAACAAAAGACGAGAAATTGAACGAACTGTTCTTTCACGTT